TTTTTTTTTAAATTTGACTATGTCTGAGCAGGCGGACTGTGTGTTCTTTGTTGTTTGCTTGTCTGTGGGCACAATACTTTTCGCCTCCTTCTCCAGTTGGCAGAGTCAGTCACTCAGATATGGTACGGCAGGGTAGGTCTAGCTGAAGAGTTACTGGGATGGGTTGTTTGTGGCACTCACTACAGCCAACATGGTGGATTTTTTAAAGATTAATTTGACTCCATCATTCATCCAAGGAAATGAAACACAAAGAAGCTTATTTATAATGACTTATCTCAAACTGTAAACCCTGGTGGTATAGTTGTTAAGAGCTACAGCTGCTAACCAAGAAGTCGGCAGTTCAAATCCACCACACACTCCTTGGAAACCTCATAGGTAAGGCAGTTCTACTTTGTCCTACAGGGTCACTATGAGTCAGAATTGACTCGACGGCAATGGGTTTTTTTAATCTCAAATTCCTACAGTTCAGAGACAGAGCTTGAACTGTAAGCCAAATTTAGTTTTCTCCACTAGTCCCAGCAGAACCTTTTTGTGTGTAGATTTGCTTTTAATATTTTTTCCCATACAAAAATTTATAGTTATGTGACCCTAATTGCTCTCCTCATACTATGACAGCACACTCCTCCTTTCCACCTGATTCCCCATGTCCATTCAACCAGCTCCTGACCCTGCCTTCCCATCTCATCTCTGGACAGGAGCTGCCCGTTTAGTCTCTTGTACCTACTTGAGCTAAGAGGCACACTCCTCACTAGTATCACTTTATGTCCCCCAGTCCAGTCCCATCCCCGTCTGAAGAGTTGGCCTCAGAAATTGTTTTAGTTCTGGGCTGATAGAGAATCCAAGGGGCCATGCTTCCTGGGGTTCCTCCTGTCTCAGACCATGAAGTCTGGTCTTCTTACTAGAACTTGAGTTCTGCACCCCACCTTTCTCCTGCTCCATCAGGGACTCTCTGTTGTGTTCCCTGTCAGGGTGGTCATTGTTGGTAGCTGGGCACCATCTAGTTCTTCTAGTCTCAGGGTGATGAAGTCTCTGATTTACTGTGGCCCTTTCTGTCTCTTGGGCTAATACTTTCCTTGTGTCTTTGGTGTTCTTTATTCTCCTTTACTTCAGGTCGTTGGGACCAATTGATGCATCTTAAATGGTCACTTGCAAGCTTTTAAGACCCCAGACACCACTCACCAAAGCGGGATGCAGAACACTTTAATAAGCTTTTTTATGCCAGTTGACCTGAACGTCCCCTGAAAGCATGGTCCCCAGACCCCTACCCCTGCTACTCTGTCCCTTCAAGTGTTTGACTGTGTTCAGGAAACTTCTTAGCTTTGGTTTAGTCCAGTTGTCCCAGTATAACTCTTATCTTTGGCCTTTCAGAGTTAGATGGCTAGGAAAAAATGGGGTCAAGATTAAAAATTGTCCTTAATGTAGTGCTTTCTTTTTACCAAAGTACTTCTATGAGCACCATCCCCCAATGCTGTTACCATGTACCCCATCTGCCACACATTTTTTACCTTTTCTTGAACAGGACTTTTGACCTGGTTCCAACAGTTTCTCTCACACTGTTCTCTAATAAACAGCATGCAAAGTTTAAATGACCCCTAGCCCCAACCGAAAGTAATCACAACTAAATTGAAACCAGGTACACTATAAATGCAGGAACACTATATTTATTAGATCAATAATTCATTTTTAGCAATACAAGTACAGAATATATCACAATGCTGGTTACAAACATACTTAATATGTTTTAATGGTTACAAATAATGGTGGGCACTACAAGTCAGTGAGAAAAATGATACGAAAGGTCATTCTGACACAATAAAGAGCTCTTTTCAAAAGTCTACTAATGACCTTGTATTTCTATAGAAATTACTGTGGCACTATTACTGGAGATTTTCATGTAAAGAATTGTTACTAATTTGTTTTTAATTGTTCCATTAAGACTTAGCTTTTTATTTTGAGCCTATTAAATTAAAATCCCATTACTTAATAAAGTATAAAAATAGTACTGACCTGGTAATATTTAATAAAATGTAGCATTCATTCACATCATAAAACTAAATTAAAAACTTTGTTACCATGGCAACATATCTTCCCATAAAAGAAATATAGAGATGAATGTTACACAAATGGTACCTGCAAGTTATTTAGTGATCCAACACTTGTGTACCACAAACCAAATTTTCTAGATATCTATATTTTTTTAATCTTGAATTTTACTTTTGAAAAAAATGTGCACTTTAACGAACTCACTAAGGCCACTCATGCTATAGATACCTAGGATTGCAATTAAAGAATAGTATTATTTAATAAATCCTAAAGCAAACTCCTTCACTTCACCAACAGGGTAAAACAAGTTTTCTGCCTAAAACATTCCTGAGATTTGGGGACAAATGCACTACTAGTGTTTAAATTGGAGATTAATCCAGATGTCAGATTAATTAAAAAAAAAAATCCTGGAAAGAACTGAGGTCCTCCAAAGCCAAGAGGTGAAATCTGTGTTAATTTTTTTAAGCAAAAATAAAATTCTAAAAAAAATTTGTACTTATAAGTGAGTACCTTTCCAGTAGTAACTTTGCCATCCAGAAAAAGAACAGCTTGGAAGCAGCAAGGCTACAAATCCTGGGAGAAACATAAAAGCTGAGTGGCAGGTTACGATACTTGCTTCTCAGCAAATCATTCTTTATAGTTTTGGCCAAAAGCTTCAATGTTTTAGGCATGTGTTTACTGTCCAACATTCTGTTTGCACTACAAGGAGCAGCCAAATGGCACCCTTAAGACTGCAGCCTCTGTACTTAATTTTTACAAAATTATGAACTCTTCCAAACAGGTCTTTGACAAATCCTTCATTTTCACAAATGAAAGCATACCAGGGCAGAGATTACTACAAAGCTATAGTGAGTTCATTTTTAACCAAGCAGAGACAGAGATTTGATGGTAATAAGACTCCTAATGCTTTCGGCACAGCTTTGGGGTCCCATAAAGATTATGGTCTAACAAATCCAAATGGTTCCATTAAACTGATCGCAGGCGAGACTGACCACTGTGTGGCTATGCAAGTGGTAACAGCTCCACAATGCACGTGGCCTGAGTAGCACCAAACTTGAGGAAAATAACGGGATAGGAGAAAAGAAATGAAAGCCAGGGAAGAATGAGACCAAACTTTCCAGGTTTAATATTACTTTTGCTGAACCTCCAGAAAAATCTTCAAGTTGGCCTGGACTTCCTTACATATAACTCTACCGTCTGTGCAAGCTATTGGTTATTGTGAGGTACATTTTATTGAGTTTTTTTAATCCCCATAACATCTAACTTATCCCAAGCATCCCCACCAAAAAGGTAAGTCCCACACTTAAAATTATTAGGATATTACTCTTCATTAGAACCAGAAATAACAGCATATTAAAATCATATCACTAACAGAAACTGGCGATCTCTCTTCTCAAACTAGAGTGTCTGCATTAAATCAAGGTGTATGAATTTACAGAAAACTATATTAAAGCAGTGCTGATGAGGGGAAACTGTCAACAATGATGATACCAAAACAAAAAAACAAAAACTGGCTGTCATTTGACATTGCCACCTTGTGATCCTAGGCTTCAAAATATCTTGTTTTATCACTGAGTGTGAGCTAAATTGAGTTCAGATTGAATTAGGAAGGATGAGGCCATACATAAGTCATTTGCTTGATTTTATCCTAGGAAGTGCTAAATGTGCAAACAAAAAAAAAAATTAAAAAACAACAACAATAAACTTCATATGGAAACAGAAGTTTCGAAATATTTATTGAAAAACAATTTACCATGACATTCCTATACCACAGACATACCACAGGACTCTAAATAACCAACAAAAGTATACAAAGCCTATCCTGAAAATATCTTTGGAGGTATTAAATATATAGGCCCATGAGGATAGAGCTGAGTAACTTAAAAATGTTAGTCCTTGGTCACTCAGACTATTTGGTAATTAATACAGAGGTGCCTCTTGGCATTAGATGGCAACAACCGGGAGAGGGGCAAGCTTCACAAACTGCAGGTGAGCCAATTTACTCTTTCCGAAGTTAAAAAAGAAAATAACTCAATTTAAAGAATAAATCCAGGTTTCTATTTCACATAGCTATATCTTAGGGTCTAGGCTTGCTTCATCTCCTTAGGCACATCTCCCAATCAATCCCTTCCTGGGGACTTGAAAGCATAGGCTCAAAACTAACAAGACTGCAAATAACAGTTTTAAACAAGGTTATATTAGGGTAGTTCAAAAAATGCTTACAATCAAATTTTATTTCAAAATCTCCAATTCATTTTTCTGCACTCAGTTTAGATTTTTTTCTCCTCCCACCCAACGTGCAAGTTAAACGAAAACCAAAATTCAACACACACCCACTCACCCAACTACTCCAAGCTTTAGCCAGGAGCAACATCTCTAACAGCCAAGTCATGAACCCCTGAAAATAGGGGGGAAAACTCAGAATCTTAACTATAGAGGCATCAAATGAGCCACTATAATAAGAATTGAGGTAACAGCAAAAAACCTTTTTGTTTCTTAAACTGCTATGTATCACAACTTCTCAAATTTGAATATTACCTCAACATTAAATAATCTGACTGGCTTAAAAAAAAAGAATAAAATCAAAACCCAATAAACATAAAGACAGTGGAATAGATATATCATTAGGGAATTGTTCATTTGACTCCTTGATTTCAACTAAAATGACGGAGTTGTACTATTATTTACCATAAAAACGAAGGATTTCTAAGAGACTTACTGTATTTTTTGGGCATTCATTTTTCCATTAATCCCCAGAAACCATATAGTAACCTAAAATCCCCACCCATGGACATGAGTTATTTTATGACTCTTAGCCAATATACTTGTTAACTGCATTGATTACTAAGTTAACGTTTAAAATGACAGGGGTGACAGCAGCAGATATTTATAGACTTGTACAGGGCACTGCCATCTGTGTATCTTGACTAAAGATATGCCATTAAAATTGCCAAATTTCCCTAGTTTGGTATCTATTACCGGAATATAATTTTTGCATTATGATTTCTCCTTATACATCTAAATGAAATCACTCTACTGTAAAAAGCATACACAGGGGCTAAAATAATAATCTAAAGCCTCTGGTCCAAATAACCACCTTCTCCATTAGGCTGGTCCTTTTCAGATCCTTCTGGTCCTGTTAGTAAATACTATCAGAGCATCTTGCATTGCTGTACCAAAAAAAAAAAAAGTTAAAACTGCTGGCCTATCAGATCTTACTTACTGATCAACACTGGTCCAGTTCAGATGAATCTGACATCCTTCCCTTGTATGATACCTTGTACCTCTGAAGTGGTTCTGTCCACTTCTCTGGGCAAGGTAGCCAAACTTCAGTCAGGATGTCCCTCTTTTATTAGTATTTGTATTAACTTTTCTATACTGCATATAAAGATTTTCCCCATAAAATTTCTTTACAATACAGTATTGAATACCTCCACATGGAAGAATTATATGTTAAAAAGTTGTTAAAATCATCCTTACATAAGAAGAATGCAACTCTTTTAAACTCTTAAATAGTTTTATTTAGGGGTTCTTTTTCCTTTCAGGCTTTCTGCAAAATGAGTTATTTTAAAAAAGAAAAAAATTTTTTTTTCTGTTTTTGTTCTACTAGGTTGAAAATATGGGCCAGACTACTTATACATGCGGTACATGCTGAATATAACTGAATATATGCTTATTCCTACGGACACTCTGCAAGATAGGGATCACCCAAATAGGGTCTTCAATGGACTGGACCAGTGTTTCTATGCAAATTCCAGCCCCAAAAAACAACATGGTTTTGATTTCACAGTATGAATTCCCTGGAATCTGAGAAAAGGTAAATTGGTTAACTGAAGTCCTCCCTCAGCAGCTCGGTCCCTCAACATTCTGAGAAATCAGGAAGGATTGCACCACTTCTTCAGTGGACTGGGGGCTGGTGTTGACATCTTCAAGAGCATCGGTCACCGAATACTGCCGATCTCGCAACCGGTTCCAGTTAGACAGAACGTTGTGATATTCAAACACTTTCTCATAATTTCCAATGGAGTTGTAAAGTTTAATGAGACCTCGGTAATCATACTCTAGTCCACTGTAGCCTTCACCAAAAAGTTTCTTCCCTGAAAATGACAACAAAAGAAAGCTCAGATAAAGAAATAACAAATGGTTTCTGTAAGATGAACACAAGTTCAATTCTTTAAGTAGGGTGGCTTGGTTTTGTTCCCTTGAAAGGAGTAGATACGATTTCTTAAATCAGGGTTCCTCTCCCCAGTTCCCACCCATGAGTTATTTTGTGACTTTTAAAAGAATTCTCTTGTCTAAAACAGTTGGCCTCACAAGAATAGGATTTAAAAAAATTTCAGGGTTTGAAGGGACTTAACTCTTACCACTGTGAAAAATAAACCAACTAGAGTTCAATGTTTTGTTTTACAGTTATATTTGTCCAAACGTTGTGTTCAAAAGTTAATTGGGTTATTTCTCCCTACCCCCTTCAGTGTGGTAATGTTATTCATTTGAAATACAATTAGATTCATTCACTTATGAGTCCTCCCCATTTTATTTTTTTTGAGTAGGTGAAATATTAATATGGTTCTATACAAAAAGTATACTCAGAAAAGCCTCACTTCCCCTAATTTCTTGTACCCAGTTCCCACCTAACCCCTATGTGTAACCAGTATCATCAGTTTCTGGTATATCCTTTTTGCACAAATGAGCAGATACAGGAATATTTTCCTACTTTCTCTTCTTTCTTACACAAAACATAGCACACTATAGATATTCACTTGTACTTTGCTTATTTTAACTTAACAGTATATCTAGTAAATCATTCCATATCACTTCAGAGAGCTTCCTCTTTGTTTACAGATGTGTAATATACTCCACTGAGTATTACATTAAGCCAGTCTTCTATGTATGCTCATATGTTTCTAATATTTTGCAATTAAAAATAATGCTTCAATGAATAACCTTGTGCATACGTATTTTTTTTTTTTGTTGGAGGTGCTCCCATTCTGCTTTACTTTTAGTTATCTTCCAATAAAAGGAGCCCTGGTGGTGCAGGGGTTAAGTGCTCGGGCTACTCTGTAGAAATTACAGCCTAGAAAGTCTCACAGAGCAGTTCTACTCTGTCACATGGGGTCACTATGAGTCAAAAATCAACTCACCTAACAACATGACCTAGCAATTTTTTTCTTTTTTTGTTGTAGAGAGTATACACAGTAAAACACACAATACAACAGTTTCAACATGTATAATTTAGTGACATTGATCATATTCTTCAAGTTATGCAACCATTCTTATCCTTTTCTGAGTTGTTCCTCCCTAATTAACATAAACTCCCTGCCCCCTAAGGTTCCTACATAATCTTTCGAGTTGCTGTTGTCAATTTGATCTCATATACGTGGTTCTTAAAAGGGCAAAATGCTCAAGGCAGATCTTTTTGACCAGTTAAGCTAAACTACTGTCCGGTTTTAAGATGACTTCAGGGGATAGTTTTCATTTAAAGATTATCGCAGGGCAATAGTTTCAGAGGTTCATCCACCCTCGATGGCTCCACAAAGTCTGGAGTCCATGAAAATTTGCAATTCTATTCTGCATTTTCCCCCTTTTGATAAGGATTCTTCTATGCAATCTATGAAAATGTTCAGTAATGGAAGCCAGGCACCATCCAGTTGTTCTGGTCTCATGGCAAAGGAGGCAGTTGTTCATGGAGGCAATTAGCTACACATTCCATATCCTCCTCCTATTCCTGACTCTCCTTCCTCTGTTGCTCCAGGTGAATAGAGACCAACTGTTGTGCCTTGGATGGCTGCTTGCAAGCTTTTAAGACCCCAGACATTACATAACAAACTAGAAGGTAAAAAAGAAGCACTAAACACATTATTAGGTCAGTTAACTTGGATGTTCCATGAAACCATGACCCTAAGCCTCCAAACCAAGGAACTGAACTGCATGAGGTGCTTGGTTGTACACAAGCAGCCTCAGTAGCTACTCTTTTTTTTTTCCTGTCATTGTTGTAAATATATGTATCATACAACTTCTGCCAATTCAACTGTTTACAGGTGTACAACTTACTGACAGCAATTACAATAATCGTCTGTGCACCCCTACCCTTAATCAATGCATTTTTCCATCACTGTTAAACCCCTTCTTTCCCCTCCCTCCTGCCCCGATAGCCACAAATAAACTTTGGTCTCTATACATTTGCCTTTTCATGTAAGTAAGGTAATATAATATTTGTCCTTTTATGACTGGCTTATTTTGCTCAGCATGTCTTCAAGCTCCATCCATACTGTAGCATGCATCAAGACTTCATTTCTCCTACTGGCTGAGTAGTATTCCATTGTATGTATGTACCACATTTTGTTTATCCATCCATCTCTTGATGGGCATCTAGGTTGTTTTCACCTTTTGGCTACTGTGAATAGTGCTGCAATAAACACTCGTGTACAAGTCTCTGAGAATCTCTGCCTTCAAGTCTTTTGGGTATACACCTAGGAGTGCAATTGCTGGATCATATGGTAGTTCTATTTTTAGTTTTTTGAGGAGCCACCACACTGTTTTCCACAATGGCTGTACCATTTTGCATTCCACCAGCAATGGATAACGGTTCCAATTTCCCCACATCCTTGCCAACGTTTGTTTGTTTGTTTTTAATCTTAGCCATCCTAGCAGGAGTCAAATGTTACCTCATTGTGGTTTATATATGCATCTCTCTGATGGCTAATGACACTGAGCATCTTTTCATGTGTTTGGTAGCCATTTGAATGTCCTCTCTGGTGAAATGTCTATTCAAGTCCTTTGTTCATTTTATGATTATTTGATTCTTGTTGGATATATGGCTTCCAAAGATATTCTCCCAGTTGGCAGCTTGTCTTTTAACTTTTTTGGTAAAGTCTTTTGATGAACAAAAGTTTTTGATTTTTATGAGGTCCCATTTACTTATCTTTTGCTGTTTGTGCTTTTGTTCTTAGATAATCCATCGTTGAAAGCTAGGCCGGAGAGCCTTTCCCGTTTGCTGTTCTAAGAATTTTATGGTTTTAGTTTGCACATTTAGGTTCTTAATCCATTTTGAATTTTTTTTTGTATATTGTATGAGGCATGGATCCTGTTTCATCTTTCTGCATTGTGAAATCTAATTTTACTAACACCATTTATTGAAGAGACTCTTCTTTCCCCATCGAATGGACTTACCACCCTTGTCAAAAATCAGCTGACCATAGATTTGTGGGTTTATTTCTAGACTCTCAATTCTATTCCATTGGTCTATGTGTCTATTGGTACACCAGTACCACGCTGTTTTGATTATTATAGCTGTATAACATGTTTTAAAATCAGGAAGTTTGAGTCCTCCTACTTTGTTCTTCCCTTTCAACAATGTTCTAACTATTCGGGACCTCTTGTCCTTCCAGATAAAGTTGAAGATTGTTTTTCTATTCCTGTAAAGAAGGCTGTTGGAATATTGATCGAGATTGCGTTTAATCTATAGGTCACTTTGGGTAGTACTGACATCTTATATAAGTCTTCCAATTCATGAACATGGAACATCTTTCCACTTATTTAAGTCTTCTTTAATCTCTTTCACCAGTGTTCCTATAGATTTCATTGTATAAGTCCTTCATGTCCCTGGTTATATTTATTCCTAGGTGTGATATTCTCTTAGATGCTACTGTAATTATTTCCCTTTCAGATTTCTCATTGTTTGTTGACCTTGTACCTTGCAACTTTGCTAAATTCCTCTATTAGCACTAGAAGTTTTCTTGCGGATTCTGAGATTTTCTATGTATAGGATTATATGATTTGTAAATAGAGATAATTTTACTTCTTCTTTTCCAATCTGGATACCTTTTCTTTTTCTTGTTTTATTCCTCTGGCTAGGACTTCTAATACAGTATTGAATAAAAGTGGTGAGAGTGGACATCTCTGTCTTGTTCCCAATTTCAAGGGGAAAGCTCTTAGTCTTTCTCCATTAAGTGTAATGTTGGCTGCTGGCTTTTCATATATGCTCTCAATCATACTGAGGAATTTCCCTTCTATTCCAATCTTCTTTAGGGTTTTCATCAAGAAACAGTGTTGGATTTTATCAAATGCTTTTTCTGCATCCACAGAGATGACCGTGTGGTTCTTTTCCTATGCTTTATTGATGTGCTGTATTATGTTGATTGATTTTCTAATGTTGAACCATCCCTGCATTCCTGGAATAAATCCCACTTGGTCACGGTGTATGACTCTTAATATGCTGTTGGGTTCTGTTTGCTAGTATTTTCTTGATGATTTTTGCTTCTATATTCATAAGAGATATTGGCCTGTGGTTTTCTTTTCTTATGGTGTCTTGTCTGATTTGGGTATCAGGGCTTTGTTTGCTTCATAGAATGAATCAGGGAGTATTCCTTCCTTCTCTATCTTTTGGAAGAGTTTAAACAGTAATGGTGTGAATTCTTCTCTAAATGTTTGGTAGAATTTCCTAGTGAAGCCACCTGGTCCAGGATGACCCAGCAATGTTATTCCTAATTATATGCCCAACAGAAATGCTTGTATATTTACATAAAGAGCCATGCTCAAAAACATTCACAGCATCTTATCTTAACTGCTGAATGTATAAATGATACATTGATCAAATATTATATAACACTGGAAATCAACAAGTGACAGCAATATGTAACAACACAGATGTTATTTCACAATTAATGTTCACCAAAAGAAGTCAGACACATAAAAATATACATTGCATGATTTCATGTTCAAAAACAGGCAAACTTGATCTAGGATGTTAAAGTATGTGTGTGTGTGGCGGGGGTGGGGGGAGAGAGTAAAGATAGTAATTGCACAAAGAGTTTAAAATAACTACTTTTGACTATTCTTGACACTCTACTGCCACACCTCTTAGTACTGGCTTCAAAAATCAATAAACCACCCTTAGCAAAATGCTCTAGATGATTTTTGGGTGATTCCTACTCTTAGCAGCAGTTTCTACTCTTAGAAGTCTTAGTAATAACATTTCTCTTATACAACATATTGTAAGGTAAGTCGACATGTTGATTTCTATCAACCGACTGAAGAAAATTTAAAGGTAACATACCAATAGCTATAGATCGCAAATAAAGTTTCTCAGCATTTTCATATTGATTCATGTCATAATTATATAAAGAAGCCAGATGTCCGACTGAAAGGGCTACTTCATAATCTTCTTGACCAAGAAGTTGCTCTTTAATCTGAATTGCTTTGATGTGCATTTCTTCAGCTTCCTGAAACACAATAAGCCCGATTAATCACTGCATTATACCGGTTCTCGTCTCAACAATTCTTACCCAATGAACAAGATTCTTACAAACGTCAAAGACATCTTACAGATATCACAGATCAGAGAATATATTTACATTATTCCAAAAGTTACCCATGGGAAGCATTACCGGCTTTTAGAAACTGTGCATGTAAGCTGATGACAAGAGAATATTTATCCCGGTAACAACTGTTAGAAGAAATTAACATTAAAATATTCTAAAATGAAAATGATCTCTTTTGGATAACATATTTCATAATCTAATTGTTACTAAGAAACTCCGTACCATAACAGGTTAATTTACACAGGAGTATGTTTTATTTTTTAGAATTTTTGACAGTTTTTATTCCAACAAACTAAACTCAGGCTGAGAAATACGTAGATTGATTTTTCAGGTAAAAACGAATTGTCTCAGGCAGTGACTCTCAACCTTTCTTTACTGCAACCCTAAAATGGACAACATTAAGAATTTATAACTCAGAATTCTATAAGGGAACTAAAGTAAGTACATGTTTATTTCTATAATTAGTAATACTAGCAATATCTAACCTTTCTTGCAAACCTACCTTGTGTCAGGCATTCTGAGTGCTGTACATATTTAACTTAACTAACAGCTATGTCTGAAGCTTAGCTTCAACCGTTTTCAAATGTCATAGCCTTTATGGTTTGACATATTTGTCTTATTTTTTCATAGCTCTAATTTTATTTATACTTTGAATGTGTATTATATACTTGCTGTTTTCTCAATTCGATTCTCTTGTGGAATAATAATGAATAAAGAGTAAGTTTAATGAATATATACTTTATTAATAGAGAAAAAAGTAGTAATAGCTGTTTCTACCTTAAATTTTCTCATTGACTGGTAAAGTCTTCCAAGGTTTCCATAGTGTTTTGCAGTCTGTACATTAAATTCCCCGAAAGCTTTTTTAGCTAGTTGGAGTGAAGACAGGTGTAAATCATGAGCTTCTTGAAGCAGCCTCTGTTCAGTTTCCTTATTATGACAGTCAATGGCAATCTCTTCTAAAATAAGTGCTGAATAAAGAAAGCAGTAACATTAGTGCACTGTAAAATCATATCTACCAAAAGCTACTCCAAGCATAACTTAAAATTAAATTCTATAAATGTTTACTGAATACACTTATATGCAATTATGGTTTAAAACTGGTCAAGATGAAAGTGTTCCACTTTAACAAGAAAATACACTTTTGGTGGGTCATTCTATTTTGCACAGTATAATAAATTCAAATTTATAAAAAAGGTGTACAGCTTATTAACCAAAAAACCAAACCCACTACTGTCAAGTCGATTATGACTCAGCAACTCTGTAGGACAGAACAGACTGCCCTATAGGGTTTTCAAGGCTGGAAATATTTATGGAAGCAGACTGCCACATCTTTCTCTCGCGCAGCAGCAGCGGGGTTTGAACCGCCGACCTTTCAGTTAGCAGCCAAGCACTTAACCACTGAGCCACCAGGGCTCCTCACACAGCTTATTACTTTGTAGAACTGGTTTCTATTTTACCAGACTGCTATACTTTTGCTGATAAGAATTTGTTTTTTTAAGTAACTAGAAGGAAGCAGGAATAGGCAAAATTTTAAAAAGTTATAAAACCGCGTCAGGGAGTAACCAAGCACTGTTGAAATCTCTGAAACCATTTTGTAAAACATAACCTTTAACCAAACACAACTAGAAGAACCGGTTTCCTTCCACTCACTTGATCAACCGAATCAGGCAAGAAGACACTGCAATTTCAAAGCCACATTCAGGGTCTGAATTCCATCTAAAGCCTTAAAAGTACATATAATCTTTTTCCAGGTCATTCTATTTCTAGGAAAATTGTACATGCATGTGCACAAAGGTAAGTAAAAGAGATTTAGCATTTTTTAAAAGAACAAAAGGTTGAAAACAACATAAAGTTCCAATAATAGGGATGAAGTTAGATACATTAGTAAAAAGGGTATATATCTACATGTACTGAAATGAAAAATGTTCATGATATATTAAATGACAAAAGCAGATTATAAAACAAAAAATCATTCATTTTATTATCTACTTGAAGGCAGAAAAGTCTAAAAGGATATTCTCCAAAATGTTGATTCTGGGCAGGTGGGATTTCAGGTGACTTAATTAATTTTTAATTTTCTATCTAACTTATAATTTTTGACATTAATCATGCATTACCTGTGCAACTTTAAAAATGCAAACCTAGGAGAAAACAAAAACCCAGCTCTAGAATTAAGGCAAAACATATTCCACATGCATGGGATTATTTTAAGAGTGACCATTCATATTGGTTAAAAAAAAATGCCTTAAATGATAGGGCCTTGGTAGTGATTCAAAGAAACTTAAAATAAGAAAATAAAGTGGTATCTGGCAAGAGCCTTTCAACATCACTGGTAAGCTGACATGAAACTCTGTGTAAGAATCCCGCACTATAAAGCTGAGGTTATGTGAAAAACCCACCTTCAGTTTGCTATTCATGTTACTGTGAAATCATTTATGTTATTACTCCACATCCCTCACCATGAAAAAAATGAATGAATGAATGAAAAGAGAGACGAAAGAAATTCTGGGTTAACAACAACGTTAACTGAGAGAAGTGAACAAGCTTTCATTATAAGCCAATGAAAACCCTTACTTAGAGCTGTAGGCAAATCAATACTTTAAATCAGTGAATTCGCCATTTTAGTAATATGAAGATATACAGTCCAACCCTATGCTACTACCGTCAGAGGAAATAAACAAATACCCCTATTTTATACCATATATCACCAGTTTTAAAAATATCTAAGACTAGATGACAAAGGGTACCTTTCACCCTCTTTGAAGAAGCCAAAAGAAGATGATCTTCAGGTAGGATGTGGGTAATGATACCAATAGCTCTTTCTGCATGAAATCTGCAATACAGATAGATATATTCTGGTTTCTTTTTAGTTACCAATGATTTTAAGCATTTTAAAAATCACCATCTTTAATACTGATAGAAAGTTCTTCTAAAACTATATATGGTAAAGACTTTTTTTTTTTTTTTTTTTTAAGTTTCCAATCTACTGTAGAATGAACTTTTGTCAAGATGGAACTGGAGAGGCATTGTGATACTTAACCCCTACAGGAAAGAAAAAGGGCAGCTACATTCTTTCTGTTATTCAGGCCTCTAGTTGACCTATCTCTCATTCAAGCCATCAGCAAATCCTGTCAATTGTGCCTCCAAAATACATCCAAATTACCAAATTCTCTCTGGATTCTCACCTGGATTATTTCAATAATTCCCAACTGCCTTTATTTCATCTATAGCCTACCACTGTTAGGACAGAGTTATCCTTTCAAAACCTAAATCAGATTCTATAACTCCAGTGGCTTCTCATCTTCCTCAGAATAAAATCTGAAGTCCTCATTACAGCCTATAAAGCTCAACACGATCTGTCATTCTGCTATTTCTCTGACCCCATCTCCTACCATTATCAGAGCAACTCCTCTTTTTCCTCCCCAGCAACACAGGTCTAGGAGTTTCCTGAACACGCAAAGCATGCTGTCACCTCAGAAACCTCATACTGGCTTTACCCTCTCTCTGGAATGCTCTTCCCCTGAATATCCACACATTTCAATATCCTCCTTGAACAGACTTTTCCAGACTAGTCTACATAAAAGTCCCTAAAAAATTTACCTTCATTCTTTAAACTCTAACCCTACTTTACCCTTCTTCACAGCATGTATTCTCAGCTGCCATGTTTGGTTATTTATTTATGGCCCATCTCCCCAAATAGATAAGTTATCTGTCTATTTCATTTGCCAGTAACTTTCAAACATCTACAAGCCTCCTTACTTCTCCTTACTCAGATCTATTTTCCAATTCACTAATTCTCTTTAGTTGTGCCTAATCTGCTGTTTAACTTGTCCATCGAGTTTATAATTTAAATGACTACTTTCTATTTCTAGCTATTCTATGCTTTATTTTTATAACAGCTTTAAGACATAATTCATACATCATAAAATTTACCATTTTTAAGTATACAGTTCAGTATATTCAGAACTGTGCACCCATCACCACAATCAACTTTAGAACATTTTTATCACCCTCAAAGAAACACTGTACTCATTAGAAATCACTCCTCATTTCCCTCTAGCCCCCTGGTCCTCAGCAATCACCAATTTAATTTCTATCTCTATAGATTTGCTTATTCTGCATGTTTCATATGAATCACACAATATGTAGTCCTTTGTGACTAGCTTCTTTCACTTAGCATAGTATTTTCAAGGTTCATCTATGTTGTAGCATGAATCAGTTATTTAATATTTAAATCTGCCTTTTTTGCTTTTTCCCTCCTCCAAAATATTACTAATTCCTTCTTTTGCAGCAAGGATGGGAAATTCTTTCTCTAAACAACATAACAAATAAATATTTTAGCTTTTGTTGACCATACAGTGTGACAAATAATCAATTCTACTGTTGTAGTGGAAAGCAGCCATAGACAACACATGAACAAATGAGCATGGCTATGTTTCAACAAAAACTTTATTTTGCTAATAGGCAGTAGTTTCTTACCCCATTTTATATCTTTAATCATGTAAGACTATTTATATTATCAACCAAAAAAGTTATGTTAACTGAAATTTGTAGGGTTCTATTTCTATTCATTATGTCTGCTGACTCTCACTCATAGTGGAAATGTTTCCTTATTTGTTTTATAATTTTTCATTGTGAGTTCATCTCAGGTACAGCTATAATTGTGGGAATTCTGTACGGTTTGAGTTGAGGGTTAATTACTCCCAAGAGTTTTACATTTTCTTCCACAAGGCACCTCAGGAGAACTGCAGCCCAAAGTGCTTTCTAACGTTTTTCTCAGTTTGGGGGCTCCAGCATGCATGATCACTAAACTCAAACGTGGTACAGGTTTGTAGTTACAAATTCCCCTATGAGGTTCCCTTTCTTTTTTAACTGTGAGCCCAACCTGAGATGGACAAGTTTCTTGTCATGCCTTTCCTGGTGGGCAAATGCATTTCTTCCCTGAGGGTATAACCTTGATCTTGTTTTAATGTGAGAGTTTTAATTCTAACTCACAGTCTTCTGTGGCCTAAACGTCTTGTCTCCTAAATCCAGGACTGTTGTTCAACCAAGATTACAGAACTTCTAAGCTTTCTCACTACCCCAAAACATGAACCATAGAACATGCCTGCCCCTTTGGATGTTAGTGTCCCTTATTGAGCTTTCAGATTTCCCTCTCTCTTACAAGCTCAGCTATGCATTTAAAAAGTTGATTGTTGTATTTTATTCAGCATTTCTATGTGTTTTGAGCAAGAGGTCTTCAGCTATTGAGTCTGTTTGTAGCCAGAGGCTATTATATTACTCAAAGAAAAATTAAAAGAACTACTCAAAAGATAAGTTATAATCTACATGAAGACATATAAGTCTCAATATTAAACCACATAAAGTCTAAATGAATGGCTTATGAGTTGGTATGGTTTTAAATGACTTCAAGAACATTCCAGGCATCCCGTTAAAGCTCCAGGAAGACAAATTTAATCCATAAAGTAAATTAAGTATTATTGTACAAGGGGGAGAAAAACCTCAACAACATTTAATCCTTCACTAAAAAGGAACGTGGAACTTACAGTGCATTGTCAAATTTCCCAGAACTATACTGGTGAACATAAGAAGAATAAGCCAAGTCTTCATGAGCTGTTGCTACATGGATATTTTTGCCACCAAACACCGACTGCCGAATGTCAAGGGCTGCCTGAAATAGTCATGAAAATATTTGGTAACACTGTAAATCTTTAGAAAATGCCACACAGTCAAACATTCTAAGAATTTAAATATATATTCTATATATACAATCTCATAAGTTTTGAAACAAGAAAGTCCTGCTGTATTTAAATAACAACAGAAGATGAATGTCAACTATAAGGCCTGATTTTCTGAAGACTGAGTCTGACTTTAAAGGCAATGGCTTAATAAAAAAAATCATTGATGTCTTGGGAATCACAATGACGTTTTTCTCTATGTCCTTCTTCAGAAGTCAACTGTAAAATCAAGAATACCTTGTCAAGGACAATGGCATAGCTCATCATTTACTTGGGAATGACTGAGTTAAGGCCTAAATTGATTGCTATCAGCCTGCCTTTCTGTTATATAATGGCAACCTCTAAGTCAACTACAAATACAAGCAAATATAAAATGGAAAAAGTACTCGTAAATATGAGGCTATAATCCAGTAACTCTTTTACTGACAATTCTCTTTAATTCCTAAAACATTAACTTTTAAACTTCCTAGAGGTTACCTGGTTACTAAGAATGATGTCCCATATATAAAGGAGACTTATAAAGTTATTTATAGAGAGTGATTTATACATTACAATCAAATACAGGTCAGCAAGTCAATTTAGGTTGAAAGAAAAAAAGTGTTACCTTTAACATACCTGATAAATTGCAACAGACTGACATATATTATCTACATTGAGCAAGTAGAACCCATAATCTAACAGCGTATCAGAATATTTTGGGTGTTTGGATCCAAAATGATCCCTATTAAAAAAAAACACACACACAAAAAAATTACTATTAGGACATAAAGTAGAGACAGACCATCTGAAACAGTGTTTTTATTAATAGTAACCTACCGGGCCAAATACACTGCATGTTTAATTAACTGTTCTGCCTTCTTAAATTCACGCTTTACCACACAAGCCTAAAGATAAAGAGAAAAAGTGTTAAACAGCTCTCAAAATAGCTAATTAGTATAATAAAACAAATACAGCTTATATAATCAGACTATAATGGCAAGAGGGTTCTTGGAATTTCTTTCCTTCAACTACTTGAAAAATCTGTTATACACACATCTGTAAATACCCTGGGTCAAATCAAAAAGTTTTGACAGTCATACCCAGTACAAACATGCTATAATGAAGTTACCTTACAAAGCTGGTATACTCTCATCCTTTCATATTTTCAAAATAAAACCGGGGTGGGGGGGAGATCACCATGCTACTTTATAAGGTATTTGTATCTTAGTTCTACAGTAGTTTGCAATAATCTTTTGTAGCTTTCATCCAATAATTTTTAAACGCACAGAATTTAAAGTTTTTCTATTTTTCCTTAAAATATTTTGATCCATAAGGACAGACAGAAGTTTTTAAATTCTAAATATGATTTGCATATAGCAATATAAACCTTGCAAGCATATCTGCTATGTTTTGAATTAATTAAAAAGATATTAAAATCCCCTTTCTAACTCTGATGGTAACCTGAATACTTCTGCTTTACTTGCTCTAAAATAACTAATTTAATACATCCCGGACTCTTCTAAATCCAGAATTTTGGAATCCTAATTGAAATTTCTAAAACTAAAACTATCAAACTAGAATACTAAAAATTGAGAAAACTACGGGTAGAAAGGAGCCCTGGTGGCGTGGTAGTTAAGAGCTTGGCTGCTAACCAAAAGCTTGGCAGTTCATATCCACGAAGTGTTCCTTGGAAACCCTATGGGGCAGTTCTACTCTGTCCTATAGGGTCGCTATGAGTCAGAATCAACTCGATGGCAATAGTTTTTTTTTTGTTTGTTTGTTTGTTTTTACGGTTAGAAAGCATATACTCAAGTACACTAATGCTTCAGGCCTCAGTGCACCAAAGTGACAATATTAAATACTATTAAATGGCCTCAAAGAGTTAATGCACTTATTTACAGAATAAAATAATCTAGAGAAAAATCAAATAAGGACTGCTCATTAGGTTGAAAGCTATCACATTGTGAGACTGCAATACTATGACTAAAAGATATAATACCAGGCTATCCTTTAGAAGAAAAGCCAGACAACTTTGGCATAAGGAATTCAGATCACTATAAAGGTTTTAAAAAAACAAAAACAAGCCAGAATAGCTCCAAGATACTACTTGGATACATACTTCTGTGAGCTGAAAGAATTATCAAAGTGAACCGTTTCACAGGTTTTCTGGGTACAGGAAAATTAACTAAAATCTGTGTGAGTTAGTTTTGAGACACCAGATTTCTCAAACTGAACGCAGATATTTAAAAATAAAGCTGTTAGTCTACAGCACATGCAATACCTAATTTGTAAAATAATACGTTAATTAAAAGCAATTTAAAACCTGATAAATCTACAATTCATTTAATATTAAATTCACCTTAGAAGCTTGTCTTAAAACATCTACCACAACTTTGACCGGCAAGCCAGCTGTGATTTCTTTCATTGCTTCAATGCACCATTTGTATGCCTTTAAAAAAAAAAAAAGAAAAAAAAAAAAAAAAACAGAAGAGGCAGAACTGTGATAAGTCAAACTGACAATACTCAACAAAACAACTATGAATTTTTCCTGCAAGCTTTCAAGTACTTGAATAAGAAAACACACAAAATATTCACATTTAAAATTTTCTCTCTGAGGCTGTTTTCTTGAAAGTATCTTGTTATATACTTCTTAAAACTTTTTATAGCTTGTCTGAATCAGACCTTGGGAGTATGTGACATAAATTCAGGAAATCAGAGGCATATTCTTTCTTGAGCAGAAGGCTTTGCACATACTGTTCCCTCTGCCTTAAAACACATTCCTCCTTCCCCCAACCCCTTAAAGTCATCTAAACTGTCAAGTTTCAGCCCTAGATTTTTTTAATTTTCCCCATATTTTCTTTTCCTTACTGTGTTATTAGGTCGTTGTTAAATGCTGTCATGTCGATTCTGACTCATAGTGACCCCATGTGACAGAGTAGAACTGCCCGATGAGGTTTTCACTGGCTGTAATCTTTATGGAAGCAGATCGCCAGGTCTTTCTCTCACAGAGGCACTAGGTGGGTTTGACCGCCAACCTTTTGGTTAGTAGCTCAGTATTTAACCATTTGCACCACCAGGGCTCCTACTGTGGCACTTAATTGAGTGCTTTTCTTTGTGGCAGTCATTTCTTCTAAGCACTTTATGTGTACTAACACATTTAATTGACACAACAACCCTATGAGATATGTACAATTATTATGGGAATCCGAGGTACACAGAGATTAAGTGCCAGGCAGTACGCTAGCATCTAGGTATCCAGGGGGAGAAAGAGAAAATGTCCTTCCTCTTACAGTGCTTAACGAAAGGCGGCGGGGGGGGGGGGAATAAGGCAAAATAAATGTTTTGGATATTAATAACTGCTACAAAGAAACAAAACAGAAGGGTCACTAAAAAACTCATTGCCATCAAGTTGATTTCAACTCATAGTGACCCTACAGGACAGAGTAGAACTTTATGGAAGCAGACTGCCACATCTTTCTCCCATGGAGTGGCTGGTGGGATTGAACCACTGAGTGCTTAACCATTATACCACCAGGGTTCCTAAAGGGTCACTAGGGAGGGCGTGTTAAGAAAGGGTGGTCTGCAATGCATCTGCACAGATAAGCACAAAGGAAGAGATTTAAGGTCATAGGATGTGCACCTACTCATTAGTTTGGCATCACCAAGAGTGAGCGTTTTTATGCTAGGGATATGTGATATGCAGAAAAAGCATGTACTGTCAAGTCATGCATCCTTGAATTGAAATTACACTCAACCACTTAACAATTACGTGTAAAGCAGGCCACTCTCTGGGCCTAGGTTTCCTCATCTATAAAACAGCCTAGCATACAACAGGTGTTCAATAAACATTTGTTCTCCTCTGCAAGTTTCCTTCTCTCCTATTCCACTGAAAAGATGAACTATTTAAAGTAATTCTGATGCAAAAATGAAATAAAAGAGGTTTATTCAACTCAGACTTAGGTCAAAAACTTGATTTGTGTTTGTAAGATGCTGAACGAGCTGACTTTGTTCCAAAGTAAAAAAAAAAAATGAAATCTTTAGAATTGTGGTAGACTATAATACTGTTATAAAATATTCACTGCCCCTCCTTGGGGAAGGATACATTTTCCCCCACATTAAAGACAAGTGTGGCCATGTAACTTCCTTCAGCCAATTAAAATACGAGCAGAAGTGAAACAGTGCCATTTCTGGGAGAAAGCTCTAAGAGGCAGTGGTACTACCTCATGATGGTTTTGCTTCTGCTCTAAGGCTGGCAATGTTTCAGGTAAAGGTTGGCGCACCGCCTTGGGTCTCGATCAAATGTGAAGCATAGCCACAGCCATCCCAAGATGGCGATACAGCATGAGCAAGAAATAAACTATTGTTTCAAGCCATTCCTACATTGCTTAGAGCTGCTGTAGGGTTTACAACTAACTTTATCCAAAGAACTTGGTCTTTGTCCTTCATTTCTGAGATAACCTCTAAAAACCTTGGAATTTCCCTAGTGACTGAAGTGTCTTTGATGAGGGCTCCAGACCACACCTACCTAACAGGTTATGCTAATGAGGTGATTCTTGGAAGGGGCTGGTCAGGCCCACTGACATCAAAAACTCCCATTGCCATGAAGTCTATTCATACTCATAGTGACCCACTGATAACACTGCTGCTTGATATTAACCACCCTCAGGGAAGGAGGGGATGGAGCTTGAGTTCAGCCCTGCAGGGACTTGATTCAACTAATCATGCCTACATAACAAGGCCCCAATAAAGGCTTTCAGGCTGGTGATAAACACTGATGCACAAAGGAGAGTAGCAGGTCTCTTCTGGAGACATGGAAGCTCCGAGTTGGGAAGCCTCCCATACCTCACCATATGCATCTCTTCATTTGTATCCTTTTTGCTATAATAAAACTGTAATCATAAGTACAGAGCTTTTGAAGATCCCTAGGTGGTGCAAAAAAATAATCCTCACAACTGGACCAATAAGCAACATCATGCTAAACAAGAAAAGACAGGAGTTGTCAAGAATTTCATTTTACTTGGATCCACAATCAATGCCCATGGAAGCAGTGGTCAGGAAATCAAACAACGCACTGCATTGGGCAAAAGACCTCTTTAAAGTGTTCAAAAGCAAAGATGTCACTTTGAGGACTAAGGTGCACCTGACCCAAGCCATGGTATTTTCAATTGTCCCATATGCATGCAAAAGCTAGACAATGAATAAGGAAGACCGAAGAACTGATGCCTTTGAATTATGGTGTTGGCTAAGAATACTGAATATTCCATGGACTGCCAGAAGAATGAACAAATCTGTCTTAGAAGAAGTACAACCAGAATGCTCCCTGGAAGCAAGGATGGAGAGACTTCATCTCACATACTTTGGACATGTTATTGGGAAAGACCAGTCACTGCAGAATGAAGGACATCATGCGTGGTAAAGTAGAGAGTGAGTAAAACAGAGGAAGACCCTCAACAAGACAGACTGACACAGTGGCTCCAACAACGGGCTCAAATATAGCAAGAATCGTGAGGATGATGCAGGACCGGGCAGTGTTTCGCTCTGTTGTGCATGGGGGGTTGCTGTAAGTCAGAACCAACGCGACGGCACTTAACAACAACAGGTGGCACAAATGGTTTGTCCTTGACTGTGAACCTAAAGGTTGGCAGGTTGAAGCCCACCCAGGGGTACCACAGAAAAAAAGGCCTGGCAATCTACTTCTGTAAAGATTACAGCCAAGAAAACTCCATGGAGCAATTCTACTCTGTAACAAATGGGGTTGCCACGAGTTGGAATCGACTCAACTGCAATTAACAAGTAAAGCTCTTTGCTGAGTTCTGTGAGTTGCTCTAGTGAATCATCAAGTCCAAAAAACTAATGGGACATAGCAGGGCAAAAGTGAGAGGGGTCTGAGGACTCCCAAGCTTGCTGCTGGCATCTGAGGTCTTGAGCAGACTTGGCAGTATGGAGGACTGTGCCCTTTTAATTTGTGAGATCTGACCTAGCTCTGCTGGTTAGGATCGGAGAAAGAAGTACTGTATCTGCAGTTAGAAATAGAATTAGGGTGGAAATGCACTGGAATTGAACTCCTTCATTCAGCTGGTATGAGAATGAATTGATCGTAACAGTTGCAAAGACCGTGAACGAGGCACAGTGTTGTTGCCATTGTTCGCTGCCGTCAGGTTGGCTCCCAACTCATGGCGACCCCACGTACAACAGAACTGGACCATCGTGATCCAAAGGGTTTTCAATGGCTGATTGTTTGGAAGTAGACTGCCAGGCCTTTCTTCCTAGTCTGTCTTAGGAGTTAGGAAGCTCTGCTGAAATCTGTTCAGATCATAGCAACACGCAGGCCTCCAGTGACGGGTGGTGGCTGTGTTCGAGGCACACTGGTTGGGAGTCAAACCTGGGTCTCCCACGTGGAAGGCAAGAATTCTACCACTGAACTACCACTGCCCACTTAAACCAGCTGTTGTCAAGTTGATTCCGACTCATGGAGACCCCATGTGTGTCAGAGTTGAACAGTGATCCACAGGGTTTTCAATGGCTGATTATTCAAAAGCAGACTGTCAGGGCTTTCTTCCAAGGTGTCTCTGGGTGGACTCGAACTGCCAGCCTTTTGGTTAGCAAATGAGCATGTTAACCATTTACAAACCTTCAAATCAAATCCAAACATAGGAAGCAAATAACTGCTAATGAAAACTGTAGCTGCCTACTACAGAAAGAATGGAAATCGTTAAATAAAAAACACTTTTGTTCTGCTGAGTACCTCAGCGCATCTGGATAGACTAAGACAGGCCTGCAGCTAGATACGGGCATATAGAATGACAAGAATTATGAACAGCTGTGTAACAGACAGGACTGTGGAGTTCCACAAGGCAGTATGGAAAGTAGGGAATAAGAAGAAATGATGAAAGTGAAACCAGAGATGGCTAAGTTTCTATGTAGAGATATAAAAGGATGGAGGGTAATCCGAAGGTCCCTGGGTAGCAAATGGTTTGTGCCTGACTATTAACCTAAAGGTTGAAAGTTTAAACCCAACCAGAAGCACTAAGGAAGAGAGGCTTGGTGATCTGTTTCTGTAAAGATTACAGCTAAAAAAACTCTATGGAGCAGTTTTACTCTGTAACACATGGGGTCACCATGAGTCAGATTCTACTCAATGGCAACAAATTTTTTGTTTTGTTTGTTTATAACTAATACTCAAGGTGACACTGAACACAATACTAAGATGTTTAATCTCACTCTTATTTTCAGGATCCACACAAGTCTGTGATCTACACAAAGGCCTTCTATGAATGAGGTTCTTTGTTTTTGGCATGTGGAAATCATACAAAGGGGCCAAGTTCTACATCTGAATTGATAAGCAATGAACAATCACTGTATACAAGGGGCAGCAAAACAATCCATCAACAGAACTAATTCAGCAGCCATGGGAACTCAACATAAAAAACAACTACAAATAATCATAAACCCCTTGAGAAATTGCAGACATGCTGCTAAGGGGTTTATATTTCTACATGTGGGTTTGATGCACTCTTACATAGATACTAAAAGCAGGATAATCCTAGCATCTGGGTTGCACAAACATCACCTCACAATTATTCTAGAATTTTCTGGTTTACTTCTTATTGCAGTTTTCCTTTAAATATGGAATATATAAATACATATATATTTATTTTGATAGAACAAAAATCAAGTAAATCAAGATAGGGATAAAAATTTAAAAATATGAAAGCTAACGACAGCTTTCTGACAACATGAAATAATTATATTCTTCCATAAATCAATCTAAGCACCCATAGATCACTTCTCAACTATGTGTTTATTAGCACCAAAGCATTAACTTAATTGTAAAACCAGGAATGAAGCTATCTTTTTCAGAAAGCAGAGGAAGGAGCAAACCAATGTAATAAGGTATAAATAAAATTTAGCCTCCTACTGAAATGAATGCCTTCAAGTTATGATAAAGAGTCCACCTAGAGCTACTTGTCTAATAAAAAGCATGTATTAAAGGTTCATTTCACAAAGCATGCCCATTAAAACAATTTAGGTAGAGATCCATTTGGTAAAAAGTCCTGAGTCTTACATATGTATGTTCAAAATCCACCTCATGGAATACTACTTTTGCCTGACTTTAAATATTCAATCACAAATGTGTACTGCTGTAAGTAAATCTAATATGTGAAAATGAGATCTATAAGATAGATGATTATTTTACTTATCCTCTGTTTTATAGGTTAGTACTAGCCACAGTGAAATGCACTTCAAAACACTCACCTCATCATAGTGACTTTTAGCAAACAGGAGTGCACACAATTCTCCATAGAGTGCAGCTTTGTTTGCTTGCTGGCCGTGTTTTGACAGTTTATCCATAAATGTCTGAGCTAACTTAAATGTTTCTTCACCCAAATGATATTTGCAATTTCCGTTTCGCACATGAAGCAACCTGCAAAAACACAAATAACATTCCTCTATTTTTGATATTTCCAACATGTAAACCTGATAATCTCTTACAGATCACCATGTAGCACCCAAATGAGAGAAGGTAACTAGAAACGAGAAATGAAGCAGCACTGGAAGTTAACCGCCTGACCCAACCTGGGGTTGTCTAATGCCCATAAAGAAGTAAATGCTCTTCCCAGAAAGCTTCCCGAGATTAATTTCACCCAACTTTGATTTCTTATCCTCTCTAAACACTTCCTATACTTTGTGTACTCAGCATGTGCGACATCTGAAAAAAGTAATTTACTTTTTGTTCCAAATCCAAAAGTAATACACTCTCACAGAAAATTTGGAAAACAATGAAGAAAACAAAAATCAACATGAAATCTCATTATCCACCATTATCTTCCATTCTTTTTTTCTAGTATATATGTATACTACTTGATCAGTTACCACTCATTTCACGTTGGTTCATAAATGCTCGTTTTTGTTTCTCTTTCCAGTAAGATAAGTTCACTGAAAACAGGGGTAATTTCAGTTATTTCTTTTATAACTTTTATCCTTTATGATGAAAAATACAGAGCTCTTTACACAAAGTAATTGTTCAACCATGCTGATGATCTAATGATAAGTAAGAGTAGTAAAATGCTCTAGGTCAGAGTAGATTCTAAATAACAACAGATTGTACATCCGTCTAAGCAAGACAGGAGAATATTATTAGGACTGGATATATACTATCCAGTATGTATCTATTATTATGTTGGCTAAAACATTAAGTCCATGTATCAGGTCAATACAATTTTCTAAAGATTCTCATCCCTGAGAGGTATAAAAGCCATTTAAAAGAAAACCAAGTATGAAGAGGTTAGGAAACACTCTTCAGGAGTATAAAAACAACACAATTAATTTTTTTCTATCTATACCAAAAATATTAAAAGATCAATAACCCAAAATGAGAACAATTCAAACAATCTTCTAATTTCTGTCATCCCTTTGTACAGTAAGGGAAAACGGTAGAATAACTTCAAATGAACCAAGACTACTCAGTAAGGTGGTGAATGTTATACAATGACAGTGTGTACCCTTCTAATACTCACCATATGGTTATCTGCTTTTAAAAAAGCCTCTAGTCATCAAGCAAAATAATATATTAAGGTTAATCTAAAATTCTCAATGGAGTACCTTTCATAATACCAAATTCCAAATTTAAAGCTGTAATAATGTAATAATTTATCAGGCCACTTTAGAATAGTGAGTTGACTGAATTTATTAAGCAGAAAATAAAAGTGAAAAAAACTATGTTTTAGTGTACAGATAGCTTTCCTGCTCAAGTAAGTACACTGATACAGAATAAAGAGACACCACCTGTCAAACTGTTGATGTGGCGACCAAGTGGTAGCTTGCAATCACTTCTGATTCAATGGAAAATAAACCATACATAAAAAAACAACTGAAATCAAGGAAAAAAACTGGAGGAAAAAGAAATATGGCAAATCAGATGGTAAAGTTTTGAGGAGACTCATAGTCAAGTATTGACTGGGCACCTATCATATGCCTGTCATTTTTTTAGTGTAAAAGATGTAGTGTGAACAGGACAGAAAGTCTGTGACCATAAGGTGCTTACATTCCAACGGTGAGAAGGATGTTTGGGTAGGTTAAAAAAAAAAAAAAAAAAAACACCAAATAAGTAACAATTTTGTTTAAAGGTAAATACTATGAAGATGGTAAAAATAGATATTGCAATTGAGAGCTTCTTAGGGGAGGTGTTTAGGGTATACAGGGAAGAAGTCTTTTGAGAAAGTAACATTTGAGTTGACATCTAAATGATGAAGAGGCAGCCATCTGGGAGAAGTATGTTCCAAACAGAAGTAATGACAAGTGGAAAGTCCCTGAGAAGGGGGAATAATCTGGCATACTCAAAGAACAGAAAGAAGGCCAATGTGTCTGGAGTGTAGTAATTAAAAAATTACATGAGATTGGAGAAATAAGCAAGATTTTACAGAGCCTTGCAGGTGATGGTAAGGAGTTTTCGTTGTGACAGCGAGTGAAGTGATCTAATTCATGCTGTGAAACATTGTCCAACAGAACTTTCTGAGATGACAGAAATGTTCTATACATGTGCTGTCAAATTTGGTAGGCGCCAGCTACACGTGGTTATTAAGTATTTAAAATGTGGCTAGTGTGAGTGAAGACAGATTTTTAATTTAATTAATTTAAATAGTTGTGTATGGTTAATGGCTACTGTACTGAACAGTGCAATCTAGAAAGACTGCTCTGCCTGTAATATGTAGAATGAACTACAGCAAAGCCAAGAATGTAAACAAGGCAACCAGGACAGAAGATATTATAACAATCCAGGAAAAACATCTTTGACAAAAAAAGTATGGTATTAGTAATACAGATTTGATAATTATCTCTATCAAAGAGGGCCAAAAGATTGAAAGAAAAAGGATAAACCCAAGCAGGGATTATAAATGTAGAGAATGAAAAGAACAGTGCTCACTTCTTATTTTTACAATGCTAAGAATTACAATTCTAACTATGTAGGTTTTCAACAAACTTCACTGTAGGTATCCCCCAAAATAAAATTTCTAGAAATTATTTAATAATTAGCATATGATGGATAGCAATCTAAACATTTTATGCCAGAAAGACATTGCTTGATATTTTCTCCAGTCCCTGCTGGTTGTCTACTGAAAATAAAGGGCGAATTGAACATACAAAGACTCTTCAGTCTGCAAGTCCATCTGGGCTGACAGTAAGCAGGATGCAGAATCCAAGATATTTTTGGCCCAAAAGAGGTTTTAATTTTGCCTCAACACTCAGCCTAATGAAAAGGTAAGTTCTCAAGGTTCTCCAAATGTGGCTCTACCATGTAAGCATAACATTTTAATTTTATAGCAACATAAAAACATGTCTACTAGATCAACAGGTGTCAAATGCAAATATCATTTAATTGGTTAAACTCTTCATTATTTAAAATGGAAAATGCAAATTTAGAAGTCACTAGTTTCTGAAAATTACATTTATTATAAGATTGAACAAAATGACTAGACAGACCCTTATCAGACACTTGACAAAAAAACATACTGAAAGAAAACCTAGAGGAAAATGACCTCTCACCTGCTTACAAGTGTCTTTTCCAAAACTAGTTAAGAATTTTGAAAATAGATTTGAAAGAGGAGGGGTGGGTATTTAAAATAAAGACTGGTATGCTTTTAATTCTAAGTGAGTAGCACACACTGTTGGCTCCCTAACCAACAACCATTCTCACCTCCTCACGCTTGCTGGCACAGCCCTGATTCTGTTCTGCAATTGCCCCCTTTTCCACACAAGTCAGAAGTAAATCATGATTAGTTTATGTCACTCATAGTACAGTGATCCCACTCCCTGTGCCAGTGACTGACTCAGAGTTCACAAAGTGATCTAAAACAAAAACTAAATCCGTTGCTGTTGAGTCGATTCCAACTCATAGCGACCCTCTAGCTCTGGCTAATGAGACTCAAGGTTAGATCAGTTGGGCGTTTTCTGGGAAAGTTTCCCTTGTCTTCAAAGAAAAAAACGGTGCTTGGGAAGGGAGTCTTTCTTCTGCTGGACAATATATAATCTGCATGTGGTGCCTCAAATAATAGCAGCGATCTTACAAACACCGGAGAGCTAGCCAAAGATAAAACCAGCACACGGAAAATAGAAGAGCAGACAGATGGAAAAGAATTTGGTTCCTTGACAAGCTCCACGAGGTCCAAACCTATCCTTGAGGCACTCGACATTTTATTGGTTATTTTTATTTTTTTGTATTTTCAGAATGCACTGCTTACATAGATGGTTCTCTGATACGTACATAGACTTAAGACAGTTATCCTAAGTGAACTGTACCTTCTATTATCAATATCCTTTTTGCATCAACTAATGGTTTTCATCCTGAATTCTACTTTATTGTCAGTATTATTGTTTTGGGGTATGTTTCCTACTAACATTGTATGTTGTTGTTGTTAGGTGCTGTTGAGTCAGTTACAACTCATAGCGACCCTATGTACAACAGAACGAAACACTACTCAGTCCTGTGCCATCCTTACAATCATTATGTTTGAACCCACTGTTGCAGTCACTGTGTCAGTGCATCTCATTGAGGGTCTTCCTCTTTTTTTGCTGACCCTCTACTTTACCAAGCACAATTCCTTCTCTAGGGGACTGTTCTATCCTGCTAACCAAAAGATTGGCGCCTCAAAACCATCAGTCGCTCTGTGGGAGAAAAGACCTGGCGATCTGCTCCCATAAAGATTACAGCCTAGGAAATCCTATGGAGCAGTTCTACTCAGTCCTATAGGGTTGCTATGAATTGGAATTGATGGCACACAACAACATATTAATAATGGTTATTATTTCTGGGCAGTAGGGTTATAGGTAATATGTATTTTCATCTTGATAGCTTTCTGTATTTCTGAATTTGTTTGGCAACAGACATATACAAGCAGAAAAAAACAAGCTATTAAATAGAAAGAGTAAAGGGAAACAGGCAGAATTCCAGGGGAATATAACAAGAACTGAGAAATGGTATCAGGTTAACTACACAGAGGCCAAGAAGGTTCTAACATTTACTCTGGAATGTTTCAATGTCAGCCTCAGACTAGAAACTGGATTTATGATATTAAATTAAAAAACACCCTCCTATGCTTGCATCAGGTTCAAAGCCCTGGGATTGGCCAAAGGATTTCATTAGTATCTGTTCTGTAAAAACACGTCTCTTCCAATTCAATTAAACACATGGCCAATTAATCCATCAAATTTCCTTCAGTCTTGAGAAAAGCTAAATCAGTAAAATTTAATTTTTCAAATAATACTTAAGAGATGGCAAAATTATACTGTATATTATACCATATCATATGTTATATCATATTAAATACACCTATAAATGACCAATAATTTGGCAAGTACTGTTGTAGAGAGGCAAATCTGATTTTGAAATTTTAAATTCGTAAGAACAAAATGTCTTCGTATACAGGC